CCTTGTTGCTGTTCCCTTGTTTGTGTGTCCCCTTGTTTTTGTGCCCTGTGTTGTGTCCCTTTTTGTTGTGTCCCCTGTGTTGTTGTGTCCCCTTTTTGTGTGTCCCTTGTTGTGTGTCCCTTGTTGCTGTGTCCTTGTGTGTGCCCCTTTTTGTTTGTGTCCCTTGGGTTTTTGTGTCCCTTGTTGTTGTGTCCCTTGTTGTGTGTCCGTTGGGTTGTGTGTGTCCCCTTGTTGTGTTGTGTCCCCTTGTGTGTGTGTGTCCCTTGTTGTGTGTCCCTTGTTGTGTTTTCCCCTTTGTGTTGTGCCCCTTTTTGTTTTTGTGTGCCCCTTGTGTTGTTTTCCCTTGTTGTGTGTCCCTTGTTGTGTGTTTTGTTGTTTGTCCTTTTTGTTGTGTCCCGTTGTTTTGTGTGTGCCCCCTTGTTGTTTTGCCCCCTTGTTGGTGTCCCTTGTTGTTGTGCCCTTGTTGTTTCACTTGTGGTGCCCCCTTTTTGTTGTGCCCTGTTGTTGTGGTCCCTTGTTGTGTGTCCCTTGTTGTGTGTCCCCTTGTTGTTGTGTCCCTTGTTGTTGTCTTTTGTCCCTTGTTTTGTGCCCTTGTTGTTGTGTCCTTGTTGTTGTGTCCCCTTGTTGTGGTGCCCTTGTTTTGTGCCTGTTGTCCTTTTGTGTGCCCTTGTTGTTGTGCCCCTTGTTGTTGTGTCCCTTGTTGTTGTGTCCTTGTTGTTGTGTCCCTTTTTGTTTCCACTTTTGTGTGCCCTTGTTGTTGTGTCCCTTTTGTTGTGTCCTTGTTTGTGTCCCCTGTTTGTTTTGTCCCTTGTTTTTGTGCCTTGTTGTTGTGCCCCTTGTTGTTGTGCCCTTGTTGTTTTGTCCCTTGTGTGTGCCCCTTTTTGTTGTGTCCCTGTTGTTGTGTCCTTGTTTTTGTTCCCCTTTTGTTGTGTCCTTGTTGGTTCCCTTGTGTGTGCCCCTTGTTGTTGTGTCCCCTTGTTGTTGTGTCCTTGTTTTTGTGTCCCTTGTTTTTGTGTCCTTGTTGGTTTTGTCCCTTGTTGTTGTGTCCCCTTGTGTGGTGCCTTTTTGTTTTGTGTCCCTTGTTGTGTGTCCCTTGTTTTTGTGTCCTTGTGTTGTGTCCCTTGTTGTTGTGTCCCTTGTTTTTGTGTCCCTTGTTGTTTTGTCCCTTGTTGTTGTGTTCCCTTTATGTGTGTCCCCTTGTTGTTTTGTCCTTGTGTTGTGTCCCTTGTTTTGTGTCCCTTTTTGTTTTGTTCCCTTGTGTTGTGTCCCTTGTTGTTGTGTCCTTGTTGTTGTGTCCCTTGTGTTGTGTCCTTGTTGTTGTGTTGGTGTTGTGTTGGTTGTGTCCCCTTGGGTTTTGTGTGTCCCTGTTGTTGTGTCCCCTTGTGTTTGTGTCCCTTTTTGTGTGTCCCTTGTGTTGTTGTCCCTTGTTGTTGTGTCCGTTTTGTGTCCTTGTGTTGTGTCCCCTTGTTGTTGTGTCTCCTTTTGTTGTGTCCCTTGTTGTTGTCCCCTGTTGTTGTCCCTTTTTTTGTTCCATCTTTTCTGGTTTGTCCCTTTTGATTTCTCCCCTTGTTGTTGTGTCCCTTGTGTTGTGTCCCCCTTTTTGTTTTGTCCCCTTGTTGCTGTGTCCCTTGTTTTTGTCCCCTTGTTGTTGTGTCCCTTGTTTGTGTCCTTGTTGTTTTGTCTTGGGTTTGTGTCCCTTGTGTGTCCCTTTTTTTCTGTGTCCCCTTTTTTGTTGTGTCCCTTTGTTCTTGTGTCCCTTGTTGCTGTGTCCCTTGTTGTTGTGTCCCCTTGTTCTGTGTCCCTGTTGTTGTGTCCCATTGTTGCTGTGTCCCCTTGTTTTGTTCCCTTGTTGTTTTTCCCCTTGTTGGCTTTTTGTCCCCCTTTTTGTTTTGCCCTTTTGTTTGCCCCCCTTTTTGGTTTTGTCCCCTTGTTGGTTTCCCCCCTTTTTGTGTCCCTTGTTTTGGCCCCTTTTTGTGTGTCCCTTTTTTACTGTGTCCCTTTTTTTTTGTGTCCCCTTGTTGTTTGGGCCCCCTTTTTCTGTGTCCCCCTTTTGTTGTTCCCCTTTTTTTTGTTTCCCCCTTGTTTTTCCCTTGTTTTTCCCCTTGTTTTTTTGTCCCTTTTTTGGGGCCCCTTTTTTTGTCCCTGTTGGGTTTTTCCCTTTTTTGTGTCCCCTTTGTTGGGACCCCGTTTGTTGGCCCCCTTTTTTTCCCCTTTTTTGGGTTTGCCCCTTGTTTTGTCCCTTTGTTGTTTTCCTTTTTCGTGTCCCCTTTGGTGTGCCTTTTTTTTGGTTTCTGAGGTATCGGAACGCTATTCTCAGGTTTGTCAGGCGCCCATATGCTGCAGCAGTTATCTGGTTGATGTGTGCCTCAAGAGATGTGCTCGGTGTTATACTCACCCCAAGATCCTTTTCCTCGAGTGAAGTTTGCAGTCTTTGGCCACCTAGCCAATACTCTGCTGGAGCCAGTTGCTGGACCAGGCTTGTAGCCTATCCAGGTCTCTCTGTAGTCCTGCCTGATCCTCATCCAATTTAATTCTCCTCATTTGCTTCACATCATCTGCAAACAGGGACACTTCTGAGTGTATCCTTTCTGTCATGTCACTCACATATACCAAAAATAGCACTGGTCCCAGGACTGACCCCTCTGGGACCCTGCTCGTCACAGGCGCCCACTCTGATACCTCGTCATGTACCATGACTCGTTGTTGCCTCCCTGTCAGGTATTCTCTGATCCATTGCAGTGCCCTTCCTGTTATACGTGCCTGATCCTCTAGCTTTTACACTAATCTCTTGTGAGGAACTGTGTCAAAGGCCTTCCTGCAGTCCAAGAAAATGCAAGCTACCTACTACTCTTTCTCATGTCTTACTCCTGATACCTTGTCATAAAACTAATAGGTTTGTGACGCAGATTTGCCTTCCATGAATCTGTGATGGTTGTCGTTTATAAGCTTTTTCCGCTCCAGGTGCTCCACCACTCTCCTCCTGATAATCCTCTCCATGACTTTGCATACTACACATGTCAGAGACACAGGTCTGTAGTGTAATGCCTCGTGTCTGTCTCCTTTCTTAATAATTGGGACTACATTTGCCATCTTCCATACCTCAGGGAGTTGCCCAGTTTCAATGGATGTGATGAAAATTGTTGTTAGTGGCACACTCAGCGTCTCTGCTCCCTCTCTAAGGACCCACGGAGAGATGGCCAGTCCCACCGCCTTTGAGATATCAAGGTCACTTAGCATCTTCTTCACCTCCTTTTCGGTTGTGTGTATTTCATCCAACACTTGTTGGTGTATCGCTCTGTTCTGACTTTCCGGAGTTCTTTCTATGTCCACTGTCAATACTTCCTTAAATCTCATGTTGAGCTCCTCATATACTTCTTGGTCATTTCTTGTGAGCTCTGCACTTTCTTACCTCAGCCTGATTACCTGGTCCTTGACAGTTGTCTTCCTCCTGATGTGGCTGTACAACAGCTTCTGGTCAGACTTGACTTTCGATGCTATGTTGTTTTTGTATTGTTGCTGAGCCTCCCTCCTTATCTGTGCATACTCGTTTCTGGCTCTTTGACTAATCTCTTTATTTTCCTGGGTCCTTTGTCTTCTGTACTTTTTCCATTCTCTAGCACATTTAGTTTTTGCCTCCCTACGCCTTTGGGTAAACAAAGGGCTCGTTCTGGTCTTCTCATTATTACTACTGCCCTTTTGGAACAAACCTTTTCTCTGCCTCCTTCCATTTTGTTGTCACGTAGGCCATGATTTCGTTTACTGATTTTTCTACCAACTCTCACACTGAACCTCCTATAGGAAGTTCTTCATGCCTGTGTAGTTCCCCCTTTTGTCGTTTGGCTTTACCCAACCTACTCCTGTTACCCTCTCCACTTGTAACTCTGTGTATTCAAAGCTCAGAACCATGTGATCACTAGCTGTGATGTCCTCGATGTCCAAGTTGCTCAGGGTGAACACGAGGTCCAGTCTTGCTGGTTCATCCTTCCCTCTCTCTCTCTCTCTCTCTCTCTCTCTCTCTCTGGTAGTGTCCTTAACATGTTGATGCATGAGGTTTTCCAGTACCACATCCATCATCCTGGCTCTCCATGTTTCAGGACCCCCGTGTGGCTCCAGGTTTTCCCAGTCGATCTCCCTGTGGTTGAAATCACCCATAACTAGTAACTTCTACCCATGTGAGCTCTTCTGGCCACCTCGGCTAGTGTGTCCACCGTTGCTCTGTTGCTCTCTTCATACTCCTCTCTTGGCCTCCTGCAGTTCTGTGGTGGGTTGTACATCACTGCTATGACTACCTTATGTCCCCCAGACTGAATTGTGCCTACTATGTAGTCCTTTTCGCCCATTTCTCCCATTCCTTCCATTTCCTCAAATCCCCATTGGTTTTTAATGAGCAGTGCAACTCCTCCTCCCCCTCTTCTCCCTCTCTCTTTCCTCAAGATCTGATATCCGGGTGGGAAGATTGCGTCTGTTATCCCGGTGAGTTTGGTTTCTGTGAGTGCTATGATGTCTGGGGATGTCTCCTTGATTCTGTCATGCTACTCCTCACATTTATTTCTTATTCCATCCACATTCGTATACCAAACCTTCAACTTTTTTCAAACACTGTGGTCTGGGGAGAACATTGAGGATGGGGGAGTGGGATACCAGACAGGGAACTATGGGGGGAGCTGCTCTAGGGGTGGAGTTTGTGTTGAAGGGGGTGGGGAGCAGTGGGTACAGTGTGTGGGTTTTGGGTTAGATTGCTTGGTTACATTGGGGTTGTCGTGGTTGAGGTCCTCCTCTGGGTGGTTCTGGGGGATGTGTGTGTATATATGTGTGTGTGTGTGTGTGTGTGTGTGTGTGTGTGTGTGTTACATTATCTCTCTCCAGTACCAGCAAAACTTTGCCACAGTGAAAAAAATCTATACATTTTTAAATCGTGTTTAGACACCTGCGCTGTGTACGGTTACTTTATAAGAGGATTTACTGTAAGACGTTTATAACAACAGTATGGGTATAAAGTCTACTTATTATTCCTTATTTGCAGATTATTAATATCAGGAGAAATAGACTTAAGTCTCCATCTGCTAAGATATTGACAGATGTGTTTTTAAGTGTATTCCAGGTGTGTAGCACATACCTGCCACACACACACACAGGTGTGTAGCACACACCTGCCCCACACACACAGATGTGGGGAAACAGACATTGAGAACTGAGGACAAGTAAATAAAACCAGAAAGTGATATGTAACAGAAACGAAAGTGAGGATAGAGAGAGAACATGACAAGGATATTAGAAGTGTACACAGAAAGTGAGAGAAAGTTCCGTAATTAAAGAGACAGGAAGTAAGCTTCAGTGTTAGGGAACTTAGAGCTTGTGAAAGCTTAGAGCAGCTCTAGTGTCATAGTGAAGACCAATCAGGAGAGAAATCGTGGAAATATAGAGGAAACTATGTGTGAAAGTGATAGAAATATTGAAGATTGGTGATTATATGGTAGAGGTGATGTGGGTTGTACAGAGGTACGAGTGATACTGACCTCTCTTAGTGCAGTCGTCACATGTGAAGGTATTCCAGGAGGCCAGTTGGTCAAGATGGCCCCTGGAAGACTGTTGAAGCCTGTGTGTGTTCGACTGTAAGATAACGTGATAACATGACTGTAGAGCTGCTGGTGTTATCTTAGGTTATATGTCAAGGTCATGTGAAGGTATTCCAAGAGGTCAGTTGGTCAAGATGGCCCCTGGAAGACTGTTGAAGCCTGTGTGTGTACGACTGTAAGATAACGTCATAACATGACTGTAGAGCTGCTGGTGTTATCTTAGGTTATATGTCAAGGTCATGTGAAGGTATTCCAAGAGGTCAGTTGGTCAAGATGGCCCCTGGAAGACTGTTGAAGCCTGTGTGTGTACGACTGTAAGATAACGTGATAATATGACTGTAGAGCTGCTGGTGTTATCTTAGGTTATATGTCAAGGTCATGTGAAGGTATTCCAGGAGGTCAGTTGGTCAAGATGGCCCCTGGAAGACTGTAAGATAGCGTGATAACATGACTGTAGAGCTGCTGGTGTTATCTATGTGTCAAGGTCATGATATGTGGGTACGGTGATGTGGATGGAGGAGGAGGAGGAGGAGGAGGAGGAGGAGGAAGAAGAAGAAGAGGGGATGGTGAAAGAGGAGGTAGACTGTGATGGTGACAGAAGGTGAACAGTGACAGAGGTCGCTTCACTGATCATGAAACCTCTCAAGACACAAGTTAGCTTTAGTAAGGAGAGAAACTTCAGCTTTCAGCGAAAGGCAGACTCTTTTAGAGGGAAGGGTGATATAGAAGGAGAGAAGAACAAGTGTAAAGACAAGAAGGGTGACATAGAAGGAGAGAAAAACAGGTGTAAAGACAAGAAGGGTGAGGGACACCAGTTGACGTCAGCCATTGCATCATCCCTGGCTGCTACTCTTTCACCTTTCTCAAACTTCGTAGCCTCACATTCCCCAAGGGGAAGTCGCAAGCCTTCCCCAAGCCCTGTGGACTCACGTAAGTCCAGCCCACCTTCCCCAAGAGCTCAGAAATCCCAGCAACAACCTCGACTCTTCCCCAGGACTAACTCCTTCACCCACCGCCACATACCTCTCCTCTCCCACTCCAAAGGCAGGACCAACTCCTTCAATGTCCCCTCTACTCTCCCGAGGGGAACTTCAAGCTCCCCCAACCCCCCCAGCAGCCCCTCGCTCAGCCCCACCACCAGTAGGTCACAAAGTTCGTCCTCAGCGGAGGACTACGTAACAGATGAAGACAATCACTTATATAATGTCCCGAATTTCGACGGCTGTCGACCAAAAATCCGCGTCTCGTCCGACGATAATGAAGGTGGGGATGAGGAGGGCTCTGGAGCAGAGGAAGAGGAGGAGGAAGAAGAGGAGGGAGAGGAGAGGCAGTTGACAGTGCCCAGAGTCCTGCCCTACAGAATTGAAGAAGGATGGCAGACCAGACATTCTACAGACACTGTCGCAAAACATAGGTACGTTACCCATTTTTTCTTTAGGATTTCTACCTTTTCTCCTGACGAAGAACCGGGAAGGGGAAAAGGGCCCCAAAGAGCTGTTTTCCCCAACTGTCATAACGCTTTATGCTCAAAATAACCCACATGGAGAAAAAAACAAATAGGCTGATTGATCGTATACACCCCCCCTGGAAAGGATCCCAAAAAGGGGGTCATATATTATATATATTATAATATATATATATATATATAAATATATATATATATATTATAAAAATATTATATATAAATATATATATATGTAAATTACATATGGCCTTTTCGTGTTAAAAACAAAACACAGGAGCAACACGAGAGGCCTAGAGCATCCCCCAACTGCCCCAGTGTTTTTTTTCCATCTTGTATCGCTTTTTTTGCAGTGGGCAAAACATGGGGGCTTCCCCTGAAATAGACAGTGGCCCCCCTGAATGATAGACATGTGGTTCCCCCCTGAATGATAACATTTGGCTTCCCCAAATGTAGCATGTGGCTTCCCCTGAATGATAGACATGTGGCTTCCCCTGAATGATAGACATGTGGCTTCCCCTGAATGATAGACATGTGGCTTCCCCTGAATGATAGACATGTGGCTTCCCCTGAATGATAGACATGTGGCTTCCCCTGAATGATAGACATGTGGCTTCCCCTAAAAGAAGACATGGGCTTCCCCTGAAAAAAAACTTTGGGCTTCCCCTGAATGATAGACATGGGGCTTCACCTGAATGTAAAAAGTGGTTTCCCCCCTGAATAAAAACATGGGCTTCCCTGAATGATAGACATGTGGCTTCCCCTGAATATAGACTTTGGGGCTTCCCCTGCAAAATAGACGTGGGCTTCCCCCCAATGAAACATGTGGCTTCCCCTGCAGGGATAGACATGTTCTTCCCCTGAATGAAAGACTGTGGCTTCCCCCTGAATGATAGACATAGGCCCCCCCTCATGATGACATAGGGTTTTCCCCTAAAATTAGCATGGGGCCCCCCCTGAAATAGACATTGGTTCCCCTAAGATAGACTAGGTTCCCCTGCATGATAAATAGGGCTCACCTGAATGATAGACATGTGGTTTTTCCCTAAGATAGACAGTGGCTTCCCCGCATGATAGACAAAGGGGCTTACCTGAATGAAAGACAGGGGTTTTCCCCTGAATATAGACATGTGGCTTCCCCAAATGATAACTATGGCTTCCCCTCTGATAGCATAGCTTCACCTGAATTAGACATTTTGCTTCCCCTGAATGATAGACTGTGGCTTCCCCTGAATGATGACATGTGGCTTCCCCTAAAAGATAGACAGGGGCTTCCCCTGAAGATAGACATTTGGCTCCCGAATGATAGACATTGGCTTCCCCCTGAATGATAGCATTGGCTTCCCCTGCATGATAGCATATGGTTTCCCCCCCCCCGCAGATAACATTGCTTCCCCCCTGATAGACATGTGGTTTCCCCCCTAAAAAAATAGACAAGGGTTTCCCCCCCCCTGCTGATAGACATGTTTTCCCCTCATGAAAACAAAAGGCTTCCCCTGCAGATAGACTAGGGTTTCCCCTGCAGATAGACTAGGGGTTTCCCCTGCTTAGACATGGGTTTCCCCCTGATGATAACATATCTTCCCCCTGCATATAACCATTGGTTTTCCCCTGCTGATAGAATAGGGTTTCCCCTGCATGATAACAATGGCTTCCCCTAAATGATGACATTGGCTTCCCCAAATAATAGACATAGGTTCCCTCATATGACATGTTTAATTATATTCTAATATTCTCAACTACTCCTGTATCCAAGACTCTTTTTGAAGCCTTTGTAGAACGTAGCCCCTGAGTGAGAACCGTTACTCAACTCTAGATGTGGGGGGAACTAGAAGGGTGGGTAGAAGGGAGGGAGGGGGTGAAAAATGAAGGAGGAAAGGGAAAAAAGGGGAGGGGGTGAAAAAAGAGAGAGAGAGAGAGTAGGAGGGAAATTTAAAAGAGTGAGAAGCCGTGGGAAAGCCGTCAGTATGTCCAGACTGGGGTGTTAAGCTTTTTAATGGGGTACTGGGTGGTGTGTTGTGTGTGTTGTGTGTGTGTGTTTGTGTTTTTGTGTTTTTGTGTGTGTGTGTGGTGTGTGTGTTTGTGTGGTTGTTGGGGGTGTGTTTGTGTGTTGTGGTGTGTGTGTGTGTGGGGTGTGTTTGTGTGTGTTTGTGTGTGTGTGGGGTGTGTTGTTGTGTGTTGTGTTTGTGTGTGTGTGTGTTTTGTGTGGTTTTGGGGTGTGTGTTTTTGTTGTGGTTGTGTGTGGTGTTTTTGTTGGTGTTTGTGGTGTGTGTGTTTTTGGTTGGGGTGTTGTGTGTGTGTGTGTGGTTTTGTGGGTGTGTGTGGTGTGGTGGGGGGGGGGGGTGGGTGGGGGGTGTGGGTTGGGGGTGGGGGGGGGGGGGGGGGGGGGGTGGGGGGGTGTGGGTGTGGGTTTTGTGTGTGGTGGGGGTGTGTGGGTTGGGTGGGGGGGGGGGGGGGTGGGGGGGGGGGGGGGGGGGGGGGGGGGGGGGGGGGGGGGGGGGGGGGGGTGGGGGTGGGGTGTGGGGGGGGGTGGTGGGGGGGTGTTGTGGGGGGGGGGGGGGGGTGTGTGTGGTGGGGGGTGGGGGGTGGGTGGGGGGGTGTGGGGGGGGGGTGGGGGGGGGGGGGTGGGGGGTGGTGGGGGGGTGGGGGGGGGGGGGGGGGGGGGGGGGGGTGGGTGGGGGGGTGTGGGGGGGTGGGGGGGGGTGGGGGGGGGGGGGGGTGGGGGGGGGGGGGGGGGGGGGGGGTGGGGGGGGGGTGTGGGGGGGGGGGTGGTGGGGGGGGGGGGGGGGGGGGTGGGGGGGTGGTGGGGTGTTGTGGTGTGTGGTGTGTGTGGGGGTGGGGGGGTGTGTGTGTGTGGTGTGTGGGTGTGTGTGTGGTGTGTGTGTGTGTGTGTGTTGTGTGTGTTGTGGTGTGTGTGTGTGTGTGTGGGTGGGGGTGGGGGGGTGGTGTGGTGTGGGTGGGGGGTGGGGGGTTGGGTGGTTGGGGTGGGTGGGGGGGTGGGGGGTGGGGTGGTGGGGGGTGGGGTGTGGGTGTGTGGGGGGGGTGTGTGTGGGGTGTGGGTGTGTGTGTTGTGGTGTGTGTGGTGGGTGGGTGTGTGTTGGGGGGGTGGGGGGGGGGGGGTGTGTGTGTGTGTGTGTGGTGGGGTTGTGGTGTGTGGTTGTGTGTGTGGTGTGTGGGGTGGGTGGGGTGGGGGGGTGTGGTGTGTGTGTGTGTGGAGTTGGGGGGGGGGGGGGGTGGGGGGGGGGGGGGGGGGTGGGGGGGGGGGTGGGGGGGGGGGGGGGGTGTGGGGGGGGGTGGGGGTGTGGGGGTGGGTGTGTTGGGGGTGTGGGGTGTGTGTGGTTTTGTTGTAAATTCATTTCTTGGTAAAAGGGTGTGTACAGCCCCGGGCCCCCTGCTGCTAGGGGTTTGCTCTCTTTGCTTCAGGCACATCATATGGAGTCTTCTCTCTCTCTTTTCTCCTCTCCTCTGTCTCTCTCTCATCTCTCTCTCTCTCTCTCCCGGCTTCTCTCTCCACTCTCTCTCTCTCATCTGTCCACTCTGTCTCTCTCTCTCTCTTCGTCCCTCTCTCTCTCATCCTCCTCTCTCAGACCTCTCTCTCCTTCTCTCACTCTCTCTCTCTTCTCCCTCTCTCTCTCTCCTCTCCTCTCTCTTCTCTCTCTCTCTCCTCGTCTCTCTCTCTCTCTCTCTGTCTCTCTCTCTGATCTCTCTCTCTCTTCCTCTTCTCTCTCTACTCTCCTCTTCTCTCTCTCTCTTCTCTCGTCTCTCTCTCATCTGTCTCTCTGTCTCCTCTCTCTCACTCTCTCTCCTCCATTCTCTCACTCTCTCTCTCTCTCTGTCTCTCTCACTTCTCTCTCTCTCTCACTCTCTCTATCTGTCTCACTCCTCTCTCTCTCTGTCTCTCCTCTCCCTCTCTCTCCCATCTCTCTGCCCCATCGCTCCTTCATCTCTCTCTCTTCTCCTCTCTCTCCTCACCTCGCCTCTCTGTACTCTCTGTCCTCTCTGCTCTGTCTCATCTCTCTCTCTCTCTCTGCTCTCTCTGTCTCTCGCATGTCCCCTCTCTCTCTCTCGTTCTTCTCTCTTCCTCTTATCTCTCTCTCTCTCCTCATCTCACTCTCATTCTCTGTCTGTCTCTCCTCTCTCTCTCTCTCTCCTCCACTCTCCTCTGTCTCTTCTCCTCCTCTCTCTCCTCTCTCGTCCCTCTCTCTCTCTCTCTCTCTGCTCTGCTCTCCTCTCTCGCCTCTGTCTCTTATCTCCTTCTCACTCTCTCTCCTCTCTCTCAACACCTCATCTCTCTCCACTGCCTTCTCTCTCTCTCTCTGTCCGTCCCTCTCTCTCATCGTTCTGCCTCTCTCTCTGTCTCATCTGGTCTCTCTCTCTCTTCTTCTCTCTCTCTTCTCTCTCTCTCTGCTTCTCTAGTCCTCTCTGTCTGCTCTCTTCTCTCTCTCTCTCTCTCCCTCTCTCTCTCTCTCTCTGTCTCTCTCTCTCCTCTGTCACACTCTCTCTGTCTCTCTCTCTCCTTCTTTCTCTACGCCTCCCTCTCTCTCTCTCTCTCTGTCTCTCCTCTCTCTCTCTCTCTCCTCACTCTCATCTCTCTCTGTTTCTCTCTCTCTCTTTCTCCTGTCTCGTCTCGACGGTCCTCTCTCTCTCCTCTCTCTCTCTCTCCTGTCTCTCTCCTCTCTCTCTCTCTTCCCTCTCTCTCTTCTCACCTCTTCTCCACCGGCTCTCCTCCTACTCACCTCACTCTCCCTCTCCTGTCCTCTCTCTCTCCTCTCTCTACTCCTCACCCCATCTGCTTCCTCCTCCCTCTCTCTCTCTCTCCTCCTACAAGTCGTCTCCTCTCTGCCCTCTCTGTACTCTATCTACTCCTTCATACTCTCTCTCTCTCTCTCTCTCTCCTCTCTCTCATCTCTCTTCTCTCATTCCTCTCTCTCACTCTCCTTCCTCTCTCTCTC